GAAAAAAAAACCCAAAACAATCAGATCTTAAAGTCGATCCTACATCATGTGACCTGTACAGTTTTGTTAAATTGAGCCTGAAATGTATCTTCCCCCGGAGTCTAAATCTTATTAGGCTGCATTTCTCTCCTTAGATTGATTATTTTTCCAAGTCCCTCAGTGTTTAATCCACCTGCTGAAACGTCCGTCTCGTTTATTGTGGTTAACCCTAACCCTTTCACGCTGGATCAGTCTCACAAACCTGTCAGGATCTGCTTCTCTGGACTTTTAAATTTTGACATTGTGAGAACTTAAGCAGAAAAAGTTATGCCTTAATCTTTGTTATTCTGTGTTGTTAAGATTTAAATCATTTTTGATTTTCTTGTTTTACTCTTCCTTGTTATTTCTTTCAGTTATCTCTTTTTTCAGTATTTTTGATATTTATTTATGCATTGATCTATTTTTAGTTATTTTTCCTGTTATCTTTAGGTTTCCATGGTTTCATAGATATCTGAAGTTATCTTTGATTGCTTCCCTCATCCTCTAGTTTTCCATTTGGTGCTTATTTATTCTGTAGCTTTATTTCACTTATTTCCTTTCCCCTTAGCGTCCTTCTAGCTGCTTCAGTCCAGGTCTGCTCCCAACTAGCTGATTTCTCCTTCAATGTTCTGTCTCCCTTATATACTCCTCCTCTGCTGTCACTCATTTATTGATTCCCTTTGTTTTTTATTCTCCTGAGTGTCTCCTAGTTTTGGTTCCTGAGTTCCTTCCTGTATTTTCTGGTTTTCTCTACCATCTACCTGTTCATTAATCTGCAAGAAAACAACTCTGCCTTCTGTCTCTGCATTTGGGTCGTCTACAAACGTCCATTAAGGCTGGGCATACACTGAAGATATTTTCAATTGTTCTACTCAGCTACAACTCAAACTGTATGATGAATCTCAGAGTTTAAAAGTTCACAGCTCATGACACCCCAATGATTTACCGGCTCAAACTGAACATCCAGAAACCACACAGGACAACATCTCCTCAAGAGATTTTAAATGTGTGCCATTCACCTCCCATAATGCAGCAGTGTTGCTGTCTAGCAGTTCCTTGGTGAGAGGGTAATACATCAGCCAGGTACGCTAGCTTTGCACACCACTCATCACTTTCAAGCAGCTGTGAGTAATCAGACCTCTTTATTGTCAGAAATACTTTAAGTTGCTGTTGTACCTCATAGACGAGGGCCAGCACTTTGCCGCGCTGCAGCCACCGGACCTCCATGTGGAACAGTAAGATTTTATGTTCTGCTCTCATTTCTTCATAACCTGACAGCAGCCAGATTGATATGTGTGGAACTGAGTTGAGTTCTATGTTATAAATCTGGGACGGCTGCCGCTCAGTCAGTCCTTGAAAAGGAGGGATGGTTAGTACTGAGCTGATTGGATGACATGCCTGCCAGTACCCGCCTTCCATAATACGCTTTCATCCATTCGTGACGTTTCAGACGTGTGCCAGAAATGATAGGTTGTTTATTGTCGCTATTTTAGCCATAGTCAATTGTGGTATCGGCAGGTGAGTCCTCCAGCGTAGCCATGTTTGTTTTCCCTTCTGACTGTTATCCCTCCTACGTGTCCCACACCAAAAAAAACTGCTGGCATGTCATTGGTCCGACTTGCCGGTTGTTACGAGACGGACATATTAGTGGGAGTCTTTCAAGGTGGGTTTGTTGTGAGACAGAAAAATCAGATCTTGCAGCTCAAGGTTAATTTCATCATAGAAAGATGCAATTAAGTGACGCCTCAAAGGTTGTGTCTTTACAAACTTCACTATGTGCACAACATCATCTAACACCTTAGCTAACTCTAGCAACATCAGGGCCAAGCATTTCATTTACAATGGCTTTATAAGCTGGAAGTGTTAATGTCTCTCCCACAGTATTGGACTTTTTTTATTAAGCTACGAGCTCAGCAACAAAATAGCTAGCTGTGAGGGCTCTCTCATTGTGGATCAAACCACTACAAGAGAACAGAGAGGGGTGCAGGATCAAACCACTATGAGAGAACAGAGAGGGGTGCAGGATCAAACCAATATGGGAGAACAGAGAGGGGTGCAGGATCAAACCACTATGAGAGAACAGAGAGGGGTGCAGGATCAAACCACTATGAGAGAACAAAGAGGGGTGCAGGATCAAACCACTATGAGAGAACAGAGAGGGGCGCAGGATCAAACCACTATGAGAGAACAGAGAGGGGTGCAGGATCAAACCACTATGAGAGAACAAAGAGGGGTGCAGGATCAAACCACTATGAGAGAACAGAGAGGGGTGCAGGATCAAACCACT